AATACTCGTTTTCACATAGGGTAACTTCACTTGCATTGAGAATTTCATAGTTCACTTTTAATGATACTTACTACTCCCTCCGTTTCAATTTTGTTTGCTTTACTTTTCTTTTTAGTCCGTTTAAAAAAGAACATCTCTTTCATTTTATTAAAATTTCAACTTTCCACATGACATGTTTAACACCACAAAATTTGAAAGTTTTTTTTACTTTCTTAAATTTCGTGTCAAGTCAAAACCAGACAAACGAGTAATAACATCATGTTTTATGGTTGAATAACTCAAAATGGATTTTAGGAGCGGAGAAATGATCATGTTATGCAAGATCCGTCAATCATTAAGGAAAATCGAAGAGGTTCCAGGCTCGATCAATGGGCTGAAATCGAAGCACAGAGGAAAGCAGAGCTGTTTGAGCAATTGAGGTCATTTGCAAACTCAAGTAGTCCTCTAGTTGGCATGAACCAAATGAGACAAGCGCGTAAATTAGACGTCACAGAGGATTTAAATTCTCCGTCATCGCTACCAAGGAGATCATTTTCTCATGTAAAACAGAAATCAATTGGTGATGATAGCTCATTACCAAGTTCTCCCATGTTTCCTACTTACATGGCTGCTACAGAATCTGCAAAAGCAAAGACGAGATCGATGAGCACACCAAAGCAACGCCTTATATTAAACGAAACATATTCAGTTCAACATTCTCCCTACATGCTCAACCATACTTCTTGGACTTCATATAATGGTGAAGTGAAAAAAAGTACCAAAAAGAGTGAAATCTCTCAGAAAACAGCTATAAATATAAAAGGGTTTTAACGAGATTGAAAAGCTTATCATGCATTGCTTGCTCAGTTGCTCGATACTTCCGGGAAGGCAAGACGGAAACATGTGTAATTTATACAAATGGATTGAGGAAAAGAAGTGTTTTTGTTTCTTGTTTTCTGGTTTTATACTCTGATAGACTTCACATAAACATGTAAATAGTTCAAAGTCTCTCCTTTCTTGTTTGTTTTTGCCTAATTTTGTATGCCTCAGAGAGTTTGAGTCTATTAAAGGCAGTGATGGTTGATTCTGTTTGATGGTTTTCTCCTGTAAACGTTTCTACTTCCAATTTTGCAAATGAATTTCCTCTGGTTCTTGCTTGCTACATTGCAACGTCCTTCTTTCTCTCGATTCATCGTTCAAGCCAAGTTATTTTCTCTATTCAATTAAGTTTCTTTGAAGTATCATCTTACAAGCTAGTTTAAGTTTTCCTTCCTGTTTGTAACAATGGAATTTGAAGCAACCAAATGCAAAACAAAGGATCTTGTGTATATAAGGCAGCTCGGTGCATGAAGCATCCCGTGTTCATACAAGGTCCGGGAAAGGCTACACCAAAGGGGGTGTTTCATTATTGTAATATGTTGGTTTCTTTATTAGCATATGATAATTTCAGTACATAATGCCAATAGGCTACTTTCTCTTGAAGCTGGAAATGTTATTCAGAATTTACATACATACAAAGGTAAGTCCTTTATTCCTTTTAATGCTCTCTTCTTGCTTTTTAACTAGTTAAAACTGATCTGGTACTTAGGTTGCATGTTTGCTGAATATAGTCTGAAATGCTTCTCGATTTCAGGGTTCTTCTGATCTTCATCAAACAGATCGAAAATGTAGGTCTCTATTGGACCGGAAGGCCTTTTAGGACTCCCTCCCTTCACATGTTGAATCAGATTGTTGTTATATGTCCTGGCATTGTCAATGGAAGTTAACTGCCCTGCTCCAGCTGAAGGCCAACCACTCTCCGATACAACGATCTGCAAAGACGAGCCACCAGCTTTTTCAAGGGCCGAGTATGTGGCATCTAAGATGGCATCAAAAAGGTTCTTGTATCCTCTTCCGTTATCATTTACAACAACTTCAGGTGATGTGAAAAGTGCATACTCAAGCTTAATGACTGGATTGTCAACTACTGCAAAGTAAGGATAAAGGTTGACAAGCAAAGGAGCGCGATTCGTCACAAGGAAGTTGATTATAGGTTCGATGAATCGTAGAACTTCATCTTTGAATCTTCCATTCGATGGAGGAGAAGTATCTGTAGTAAGTCCAGTTTCAATAGCTGTGGAAACTTTGATCTGATCTCCGAGACCGGCTCCGGATATTGCGGTTTGAATGTTCCTTACAGCATTGAAAAGAACAGGTACATACTTTGAGTTTTCATTGAAGGGATTAACTTCATTTCCAACAGCTATATACCTGAACTTGACATTATCATAGTTCTTAACATTGTTTTGGATCCATGTATTTGCATTGTCTTGGCTAGCACCAACGTTTTCAAGATCCGTGTTCGGGACACCTAGCATGACCTCAATGTTGGATCCTCGGAGCGCCTGAAGGGTCAGCTGGTCAGGTTCGTATATTCTCATTCTTCGAATGTTGTTTCGATTGCATAGTGACACAACATCTGCTGGAGATGGTAATCCATTCCCTAGCTTCCATAACAAACTCCAGTTTGAGCACCTGCATCACATAAAACATAATATTAATTAGTTCGTCAAGCTATGTTACTCGGATCCTTCATTGGTCTCGTTATGTCTATGTTAGCCACGGAGGACAAGAGAACGAGCACTTCGTTCAAAACCCGAGCCTAGTACCTTCATGTATACAATACTCATGCTTGAGTCCATGTCACATAGGTCACGTATGGTCATTGAACTTTACTCATTCTTGAGCAGTCTCCACATGTTTTTAGTTGGTTTGATGCAACAAATAATTGTTTTTGGTCATATAGCGAGTAAAGTTCAGTGAAAATATAAAATTATATGTGTATCTTAGCTCTCAAGCGCGATAGGAAAAAACAAGAGTCATTATACAGTAAGTGGAAAATATTATCATATACTAATATTTTGTGTCTAAGAAGAAAGATACAGATATACCTGTAAAATCTGGGGTAACTAGTGTAAGTACACCATAGAGAATCAAAGTGAAAAAATTGAAATTTGATAGTTTGCTAGCCATTTGGGAAGAAAAAAATGGCTAAGTGAAACTAGAAATGCATACCATTTATATAGAAAAAAAAATTATATTGTCAAGTCAAATCAGTCTATGGAAAAAATAAAACAAATTGAATTATATGATCTAGAACATACACCTAAGAATTATTTTTTTGGACTTATTTCAGTAAGTTTGAAAAGTCTACAAAATATCCTTTAGTTCCTTAATCAAAATGACATTGAATTTTCTTAATTAGCAGCCCCTAACATCAATTAGTACAATAATTGTTGGAGTATAATATAGTAGTTAGAAATTTCAAATATGACTTAAAAAAAAGGTATCTAAAGGACATTTGTGTACATAGAATTGGTTTGGCACTTCAAAGTGGTTTAGACGGATTCGAGATTTAAAGTTTATGATTTTTGAATTCTTAGCTATTGAATTTTGTCGAAATTATATTATTTACATCTGACCCTATATAATATTAGGCAATGAACTTACACTATGAAAAAATCAAGATTCAAACATCAATAAAGACAAACTAAGTTAAGTAGATAGAGTTGTCCAATATCAGTGTTGATGGAAGATAACTTGCAAAACATGATACTTGTATGAAAATTTAGCTAACAAGTATTGTAAATATTTATGTAGCTCGGATTCTTCAAAAATGTCAATGGATGCATATCAGATTGGCCAAAAATAGTGTATTTTTGGTGAACCCGACACCGGGTGCGTCATCAAAAGTGAAGAGTTCGCACAACTAAGGACACACCCCTAAACTCGACAAATATTATTAGTTTCATTCCCAAACTATTGGCAGCTTAGAAATACCTATTTATTGGACTAAGTGAACTAAAATACTCTCCGTTCTCGCAACATGTTAAAGTTTTGCCTTGATTTTCTTATCTTATTTTAATTTTAATTTTTTCTTAAAAGAAAATCAAAGTTTTACAATAAGTGCTTTAATTTTCCGGAAGAAAAATATGATTCTCTTTCACATTTGGTTTTTCTGTCTTTAAAAGAAAATTTTTGGAACTCTATAAATTAAAATCTCTCTTTCTCATATCAAGATCACAATAGCCAATTTGACTGTTTAGAAAGTTTTCTTTATGATGAGATTTTTCTCTTGACTGTTTTAATTTTTTCTTTAACGTAAAAAATTGTAACCACCCTCTTTGTAATTTTTTATGATTTTCTCCTATTTTTTTTGAGTTTTAATTGTTTTTATAAATAATTTATGATTTGTGAAAATAAGTATGTAATTGGAGTAACTATTGTTAATAATAAAGGAAGGGAAAAGGGTCTGATATATCCCTCAACTTTGTCATTTGGAGCTGATATACCCCTCGTTATAAAAGTGGCACATATATGCCCTTACCGTTATACAAACGGCTCACATATATTCCTGCCGTTACAAAATGGCTCACATATACCCTTCATTTAACGGTAGTTAAAAAATTAGTTTTAAATTTATATTTATTACTTCTATTTTTTAAAAAAAAAATTATTTAGGGGTATATATGATTCTTCTATCAAAGTTCAAGGTATATTTTAATTTTTTTCGTACATAAATTATTTTTTGACTTCTTTTATTATAATTATTTGAATTTCTTATTCTTATTTTTTTTCTCTTTTATTTCTTAGTTTAAAGAATAAAAAATTAAACTATTTTTTTTGTGTGTATTGTAATTTAATTTCATATTCGAAGAAAAAATTTGGTTCATCTATAATAAGTTTTACAAGAATATTAGTGAAACATAAATAAATTTGATTATCAAAATAATAATTATAAATTATTCATTGAAACAAAAAAAAGTCAAAAAAATAATATGTTTGACGAGGATTAAATTTACTTCATATGGGATTATATTTTTTAGAAAAAAAAATAAAAATTTAAATTAATTTTTTTTTCATTTCCGTTAGAAGAAAAGGGTATATGTGTAGAGGTATATATTAGTCACTTTCATAACAAGAGATATATCAACTCTAAATGACAAAGTTGAGGGGTATATCAGACTTTTTTCCCATAAAGAAAAAGGAACAATAATACTACTACTAATAATAATAAATAAATAAATAAATAAATAAAATAAGGGCAAAGGCCTATTTGTTGAAAGTCAACTACAGAGGGGGAAATCAACATGAACGAATAGAGGACAAAATACGATGTAGAAGAAAAGAAGAGTAAGGAAGAAAAGAATAGGAAAAAGGAAGATAAAAATTGGATTTTCATCCCAAAGCTTAAGGTAATGATTCTTATCAATTTCATAAAACTTTTATGTGAGTATCAATAGATTTTTAGGATGTAAACGTGTAAACTTTGGGCTAAATAAGAAAATATAACCCTAAAGTTATTTGAACAAAATCTTGATTTAGAGGTCGAATAACGATCTGTTTTAGCTGAAATTTTGCATACGAATTTGTTTTACTATTGGTGAACGTAATCTAAAAGAAAATTTAAGATTAAAATTTGATGGCTCGGGATGATTTTTTGATCTAATTTTTCAAACCGATACTACATATAGTAATATGAGTGTCATTAGATTCGTATTCTTACGAGGACTATATATTTGATAGATTAAAAGCAATTTAAAGTTTTATGAAGGGGGAAGATTCAAGTCCTATTCAATTGATTGAGGCAAGTAGATTTTTAAGTCGTTGTTAAGTGTATAGAATCTTGTATTTCCTTGTAGTATGTGTTTGAGAGTAATGAGACTTGGTGATGGGTTGAGTTTTCCATATTGAATAATTCAAACAATGAAAAAGGGGTGATAAAAAAGCAATATGACTAATTATTGGAGTGTGATATGTTGAGAACAGTTTGAAAGACATTGATTCATTGCTGATATTGTATCACAATTTTTTTTGTTGTGAATTCTACATTATTATGTAAATTGACCCATGACCTTTCAAATTAAAGATCTCTAAACCTTCTTTCCAATGTTACCGAGTTTGTTAAAATCTAAGTACATTGTAAGTAGTTATACTCATTTTAGTGAAGCCCTATTGGACAAGACATCTTCACGATTGGCTAGACGGGCCTTGGTCATCATGACAACTCGTGAAGCTTGTCTTGAAGTCACTTCGACAACATTTATGTCAGGGTCACTTTGATTTTTTCTATGCATTGGCACTTAAACTAAGTTGTTTGATGTCTAAACTATGTCGTTTTACTCAGTGCAAGCCTAATAATCTAGTCAGATAATAGTCAAAATTCTCATTCTTCAAAAAAACACCCAACTTAGAGCGAAAAAAAAGGGGGAAAAGTTGATTGTTTCTCCCAAGACCAAGCAGGAATGTTCTTCGAAGATTCGTCACTATGTATGTGGAATTTCACTAGTGAGTTCCTTTCACCCATTAGGTCCCTAGAATTCAGCCAGTTCATCAATTTCTCATAAACTGTTCAGACTTAGGGTTACCAGATTTTAAAGATTTATTGTGATTTTAATTGCTATAATTCCCATAATTTAAATAACATGATTCTTGATAATTAATGCAATTTGCATATATAGAATTTAGAACCCTAGTTTGTATCAATTATCAACTCATGAATTATACTTTCTAGGCAGATCAATCAGAAAATCATGCTTTAGAAATTAAATGTCATTACTTTAAGTATAATTGTGTGCATTTCTAGATAGCATGTCAGATTTTAAATTATTTTGTATTTCAGTGCATTTTAGCTTTTCATTAAATTGAGAGTAGTCTTAGCACAAAGTTGGACTACGATTCAACATACCCTTACAGTTATAGAATTACGTACAAATGTAGGTTCATAAGTCCCCTCTGTTAGGCATCATTGTTAGTGATCACGTCAAGTCATGCATTTATACCCCTGAAAAGGTATATTAGGTCTCTTAATGAGGCATATACATCGAACTCCACGTTTTAGCTCACGTGGTTTATATTGGTTAATAGTAACTTCCACAGTCATACTCTTATTGCATTGACCATGTTATAATTAGCATTCACTTAAACATTCAGTTTCGCATAATAGTTACATGATTAGTACTTAGTCATTGCATTTAGCTTAGATTTCAGTTAAACTTCCGTAGAGTATTTTCATATTCATTATTATATTGCTCAATTATATCACTGTCCAGCTTAGTATCTATATCATGTATACTTAGTATATTTCAAGTACTAACACATACTTTCCATGCATTTTCTCATGATGTAGGCTCAGGCACTCAGCATCTAGATCACGCTTAGTTCGACTATCAACTTAAATTCAATAGATTTAGTGGTGAATCCTCATAGTTTGAGGACATTTCATTATGCTTGGTTTATTTAGTTACTTTCACTATTTTTAGTATTATTTTAGAGTTAGTCGGGGACTTGTCCTAGCGGATCATCAGTAGTAAAAGCTTTTAGATATAGTGTTTGTATTCAATTATTTGGGGTTGAATTCCCATGAAATGTTCAGGTTTATTTTCTTTTAGAGTGCATAGTTTTGACTCAATTATTAGTTATGCTTCCGCTTTTTTAGTTATTTTTCAGTATGCTTATGATTCGCCAGACTTAGGGTCAACTTAGGCGCACTTGTGATCCTACGTCTCGTGTTACGTTTAGAGGGTAGCCTCATGACATGAAAATGACTCTGATACCTATGTTAGAGAAGTAAAATCAATTAATTGTGTACCTTAGAAAAATTTTATGGTAGTAGAGGTCCAACCAACCAAAGTTGAATGAGGCTCCACCCATTTTTTGACACATGGATTGTGGGTCAATATGTGTACTTTGCAAATAAAGTCAAACGAAACAAAATAAAAATAATAAAAATAAACATTTATATAGTACAATAAAAATGGAGGGAAAGAAAGTACTATTTTCCCTCCTTAAATTATGATCTTTGCCTACAAATAAGTAAAAGCCCTAAGATAAAAATACGACATTGTTGCTCTAAAATAAAATTACACCATCTATGATCCTTTATTCTCGTTTAAATTTTGTTCAAGTAAGGTTACAAAATATACATATCTATGAACCATTTCTTTTACTATTTTTGCTCTCAAAATTCTTTTATTTGTCCAATGATATTACATTTTTTTACGAAAACTTTAAATAAAATAAAAAGTTGTTTATTGATAATCCTCATTTTACATATAGATAAATATATTTTATACATATCTTGAAAATAGAATGTTGCATTATCTTTTTCAAAATGCTCAAGATTGTGTGACACGATTATCTATGTAAACTTTTGTGCATCATTCATTGTTATCATAAATGATCTTCATGCTTGATAGAAAGTTCCTGTCATATAAAATATTAGTATTAGTAATTTCAAAAAAATTTACATTCAAATTTAATGGTGATCACATAATATTAAATTAAATTTGAAATGTATAGTAAAATAAAAGACATGTTTTAATAATTTTATGTGCTAAGGTAATATTTGAAAAATATAATTTCTTAATAATATAATTTGTTTCTTGTGCAGATTTTGCTTTAAATTTTAAAAAATGGAGGACATACATATTGATAAAGGGTCTTCTCTTCAAGAAGGTAATACACTTTATTTATATGATATTTTCTTAATTCGAGTGTGAAGGTTCTCTATTAAGTAAATTTTTATATTTTTATCTATTTCTTATGTTTTGATACTCAAAAAATAAAATTATTATTGTAGATCCAATATTAACGACAACGAATATTCTACAAAAGCAAATAATGTTTATAGCATTAACAAGAACTTTGCTTTTGAGATTTGTATGAAATTTAATTCTGAAGAAGAATCTTACAATGCATATAATTCATGTGCTCTAGCCAAAGGTTTCGGTGTTCGAAAAAGTGCAAAGACTTACAACATAAATAAAGAAGTAACTAGACGGTTATTTCTTTGTGCTTGTAAAGGAAAATCTGATAATCTTTCCCTTTTTCAAGAAAGGAAACGACAGAGATTAGAATATAGATGTGGTTGCATGGCTCGTATAAAATTCAAAATTTCAAATGGAATGTGGGAAGTATGTGAATTCAATGATGTGCATAGTCATCCAATGATAGAAGATAATTTGAACTGTTTCATACAATCGGGTCGTAAGCTTAAAAGTGCTACTAAAAGTATTCTTGGTTCTATGGTGGATGTCAGTATTCGAACAAAAAAAGTGGTTAGATACCTTCATAACGAAGCTGGTGGAATTGAAAATGCGGGATTTATTGAACAAGATGCTCGTAACTTTATACAAGCACATAAAAGGAATATGATAAGTGGTGGAGATGCTCAAACCATGATAAATCATTTTATGCATTTACAATCAAAGGATTCAAACTTTTTTTATTTTTTTCAAGTTGACGAAGATGGCAGATTGTGTAATTTCTTTTGGAGAGATAGTATATCTAAATTGCACTACGAGTGTTTGGAGATGTGATGATTTTTTACACTACTTATCGTACAAATAGATATGACATGATTTGTGCTCCATTTGTTGGTGTGAATAACCACTGGAAAAATACTTTCTTTGGATGTGCATTTTTATACAATAAAACAAGTGGTTATTTTGTTCTTTGAATTGAATTTTACTTCTATTCCGGAGAAATACATTTTGAAAAGATGGTCTAAGAATGCTAAACATGAGAAAGGATTTGCGGAGTACTCCAAAAAGAAGGGAACAACAAAATCTTCTATGGAAGTTTGTTTGAACGAGTTAATGAAAAAATCATTTACTGTCATGACTTTATCTGAAAATGATATAGATTCGGAAGAAATTGCTAGAAGGTATTTATACCAAGCAAGAGTTGAGATTACTAAGCATCAAAGTGAATTGTATGGTGAAAATTGTGACAAAACAGACACAAATTTGATTCATTTGTTGATCCTTTAATTGGGGCCAAGGATCGAATTGTGGATCCAATTAAGAAAAAAGAAAAGGGAAATGGATATTCAAGAATGAAGCCAAAAGGTGAGAAAAAAATAAAAAGACATCACAGGTGACATTCAAAAGCAAAACAAGACAAAAACATGAAAAAACAGTAAATTTTGACATGCAATCAGTCTCAATGCAACAAATACAACATGAATCTAAGAGATTAAGTTTTGAAGTTTGTTTTCTCTTTAATTAGTTAAATAATTTTTTCATTGTTTATTATTGTATTCATACATATACTAATCTTGATATGTTTTTTTTCTATATCAAATATGCAGTTACATGAAGATTCATCAAGCATTTTCAATCAATTTTTGACTCAAAATCTGAATTCACAATTTGGAGCTTGCATGCAGAGTCAACAATCAAACAAAGAGATATTTGAAGAAAATTCAATTTGATCTTTGGTGCAGATCTTAATTTTTGATATTTGAAGCATAAAAATCAATGCAACAAATATTTTTTTTGTATTTTGAATTATAAGTAACATGCAAGCAAGAAGATCCATATAGATCTATTAAAGAGTTCAAGAAATATGAAGAAAAATTCGTACCTGGAAAACATATGTAGATACTTCTGATTTTTTTCTCCTTCGAATGTAGATAATTTTTCATATTTTTTTGTCCTTTGAAGAAGAGAAAAGAAACTTGTTCACCTTTTTTATTTTATTTTTCAGCCCTTTTGAAGAAGTCAAAAGAAACCCTTCATCTTCTCTTTCTTAGATATAAGTGAATATTTAAGTTAACATTTAATATTGTAGGCCCCTATTTACTTTTAATGTTTTGTCAGCTCCTTTCTAGAAGAGAAAGTAAATACAAGAACGTTTTTCATCTTTTCTCTCTTAGATATAAGTGCATATTTATTGCTTACTTTTAATTTTATTTCAGCTCCTTTGTAAAAGAGAAAATAAATCCAAGAACCTTTTTCATCTTCTCTCTCTTAAATATAAGTGCATATTTAATGCTGTCAACCCCACAATTTACTTTTTTATGTTTTTTCAACTTTTATATTGAGAAAGGTCCCACAATCCATGTGTCAAAAAATGGGTGGAGCCTCACCCAACTTTGGTTGGTTGGACCTCTACCATCATAAAATTTTTCATGTACCTTATGCCTGCACTGGATGTCCTTGCTTTTGTTACCAAAATGAATTGATCCATATTTACTTTCGAATCACTAATAAATAAATATTATGTTTCACAAAGTGAATGTCAATTTGTTTGTTGATTTTATTGTGAAGAAATAATTTATTTGTCTTGTTTTCACTCTTTTGTTCTTTGTTCTTTGTTCTTTCTTCTTTTTTCTATCTCTATCCTTTGAGAGAAACGTGAAATAAATCATATAAAAAAATTATTTTTACGTTTGAACAATTACTTCGTATCTATTTTCACCCCTTTTAAATTTGTAGTTATCTTTTTCTTTAAAAATATAATTTTGGATCGAGTCGGTCCACATGAGCGATCCACGATGTCACGATCCGGGCTAGCCCCCAGACGTAATACATCGTACTTGACCTCGAAGGGGTCTCATACTATCCCTTCACATACATTATTGCATAAAATGCGAAAAATTAAAACTTTTCTTTTACAATCGAAGTCTCTTATAAAAATGATAGAGTATCTATGACCCTATGTCTCAAATCATCTCATTACTTAGAGTACAATTCTTGAATACAATACTTAGGGAGATGATTGTTACAAAGTCTAAAAAATAAAGTAAAGACATAGGTGAACAAGGTATGTTCATCCTCGAAACTATGAGGACTCCCCAAGTCCTCATCTCCAATCTCCTTAGAAACCTATCTTCCAAGTATAGAACATCACCTCTCCAAACCATACACTTTGTAGAAAATATAGAAAAAAAAGGTTAGCACGAAAACGTACTAAGTATGGAAGTCATGCATGAAACACTTAAAACATGCTTTAAAAGGAACATTTCATTTGAAATCATGTCATATTCTATTTTGAACATCATTTTGGGAATAGTTGGAGAATGCAATCAAGAAGGCAACTCACATATATTTCATTATTACATAAGAGATATCCTTACAATAACAAGCATAGTCTCTAATATCAAGATAACACACATTTCATTATTACATAAGAGATATCCTTACAATAACAAGCATAGTCTCTAATATCAAGATAACATACATCCCAATCTCAACAATATATAGCCTCCAATCATAAAGTAATACAATACAAACACCAAGATTATCTCATCAATAAATAGACATTACATCAACAACCCTTAAGAGACACTCAATATATGGTAACTATCATGCATTTATAATGTGCAACATAAGTCAATATCACATTAATAATCATTTAATAGTACATACATTATCTTAGTAACCTCAAGCAAATACTTGTGCAATGTGTTGTTGGCATCCCATAATACCAACCCTACTAAGCACTCCTTTAAAACTACCTTAGTCATGCACTTCATATTTAGACCTCAATATAATCAATAGTCACCAATAAAGATATGATCATACATATACTACTTGAATTGTAAGGAAAGTCAATCATGGTAATAACTGAAAGAGAACATACAACAATTTATAAATCATCATAATAGAATGGAACCATGAGTTCAATTAACATCATATCATAAAGACACCACCCATGATCCCCTTTTAAGTTCACAATGTACATATGAAGTTGCATACCCCCATATATACTAGCAATCCATCAATAATCATAAGCATGGTCACATACTGTATTAGTCATCATAATAAGTAAAAAAAAACCATAACATCATTTATTATTAGTAACCATGCATGAAGAACTCAAACCTCTCTTAATACCCACTTGTGCAGTGCATAGGTAAAGTCCATGCCCTCACCTACACTAATGTAGTATCCCTCAAGAAGCCCTATTTAGAATTCATGTTCTTATCTTCATCATATTTTAAGCATTTGGAGAACTTTGCCATAACCGACATAGACCATGTGAGTTACATGAAATCTTGTGTTTACCTTCCACACCAAAAAGAGAGTGTTCGACTTGTCAAGGTAGGACATGCATTCATGGTATCATCTAAGTGGATCCACTAACTACAACCTATGTGGGCGCATACTTATGTGATAAGAAGATTGCTAATAGAAACCTTATACTTAATAATATGGGGGTTTCCATCTCATGAGAAACATTGGGGAAACCTCCCTTCATTTGTGAAGAACCCCTCTCATTTTCATATCCATCCAGTGTTAAGCACAATTCCCTTTTTAGGTAATCTTTAATCTTTACTTAAGTATTTGTTCATGAAGAATACCTTAGGGACTTAATCCCACATACATCATTCTGCTCAAGGGTTTGAAGATGAGAATGACCTTTCCTCATAGATACAACTTCATGTGAAATTTTATCTTTCATATAATAGTCATACATTGTTCATGAGAATTACCTCCAACTCAACATAATAACACATTCATAATAATCTCACAACATTCATGTTCATATCATAGATATATCTTCATGGTCATGTACATTTCATGCATAATAGTATGTAAAAGTGTGTATGAGAACTAGCCTTTATATTGACACCATAAACACATCATATTCATATTTATGCATGGAGTGTGTGTGCGCATAATTATCCTCACAATGGCACAACAACAACAACATTATCATCATAGGCACTTTCCTTCAAAAGAGATCACAACATGTACATCATATCTCAAACTCATGAACAATATACATATATTGCATTTAAGGATCTTAAACAAGGTAGATCAATATATCTAATTCATTACATTAGACATGGATACATTCATCATTCAAGCAGGTCATTCATGGCATGTATAGAATCATACATTCATATAAGGGGTTATGTGGTTAGGGGCCTTCCACATTAAAACCACATATAATTCAATATGCATCAAAAGTAATATATAGCAAGTTTAACATATCATACCTTCATAGATTGCCCTTCAAGGCTAAGACTCAAGATCATGTATATCATCCTTAATTTAGCAAATTTACGTTATAGAACATCATACATCAACAACATAACTAATATGATCATAATCAAGTCAATTCATGTCATTAGCTTCACTTATAATCAATGCACGTCTAGGTGATCTAGTTATAAGGTCATCCATCAAGACATAACCCTAACCCTAACCTTTAGGAATAGATCATGAGATAGAGTAACTTCATAGTAAATCACCTAATCAAGGTAGAGATTCTATATTATCAATCTATATCCATCAATTAATCCACACAAGGGCTTACAATTGAGAAAGAAATGGAAGATCATGGGTCATTGGGGTTTTCTCCAAAAACTATCAATAAACCATGAATTCACCCATAATTGAACATATCTAATCATAAGCAATCATAATTTGGGGAAGTTGAAGACATAGTTGAGAGGGCTTCTTGGTGATAGCTAACCAAGAATAAAAAGCTCTCATACCTTAGACCTAGAACTTCATGAAAACCATTTTAAAAACCCTCCATGTTCAATCTTTACTTGACCTTCTTTAGGTCTTCAATGTTGGTTTTTGAGAGAAGAGTTTGTGAGAAACTTTGGGGGTAAAGTTAGTTATGATTTGGTGTCTTGAGTGGTGAATTAATGGATTTGTTTTAGGGTCTAATTAACTATTTACAAGAGTTCATTTGAACACTTAACCGACTCCCTAAGCCTTTAACTGATTAGTTAACTTAATTCCCAAACCCCCAACTTAGAATTCAACTTACCAAATTTGGTAGCACTTAAGGGTAGCCATCTACAGTCTGTAGGTGGTGTTACTGTCAGTAGTTTGGCCTCATTAATTTTGGAAGTGCTGCACTATTTCGAGCATAACTTATTGTACTCTGAAATTGGAATTAAGCAAGCTCGGTGGAGTTGGAAAGAGGACTCAAGTATCTCTAATGGATAGGTAAGGATCACCTAATTCGTTTTTAGCTATGAGATATGACCATTTTAAATTGACACTCACTTAATTAAAAATTCTAAAACTTTGCAGCACCTACGACCACCCACCTACGGACCGTATGTGGGTTCACGCCCCATACTACATGGCACTGATTGGGTCAGAGAGGGGTGTAAGGCTTTGGTGAGGATACTAAGTCTCAACTTACGAATCCAATCCACACCTCATGGTTTCATTGACGGTTTGTCAATAGCCCTAATAGGCTATGCTGTTTTTATTTTTACAGTTTTTGGCCAAAGGGTTGTTCTTGGGGTGAGGGGGGGGGGGTCGTACCTGGACGTTTGGATCCTAAACATGCATCCACGTGCAGGAGTCACTTCTACAAGTTTTCACCCTCAAACAACACTTACAACTTCAACGACAAGACCCTTACAACTAACTAGTTCAAATGACTAGTTTTTGAACGTTTTAATCGTTTCAGGACGTTTGACCTCTAAAATCACCAAACTGACTTCAATAGACATTTTTAGTAATTTAAAAAAGTTTCCAACTATAAACTAACATGTGAGGCCCTAGTTCAACCTACTAGATTTAGTCAAGCCCCTAGTTCAACCTACTAGATTTAGTCAAGTCTTAGCTAGGTCTTACTAGTTCGTAGGGGGTGTTACACGCAACTCAACAACTTACATATACATTACAATTTTTTTCATTTTAAAATTAGTACCATGTTTATACACCATAATATTAGCAGATCTACATGTTAACAATGCATATTCCTAAACAAATAAGGACACCATTATTACTGGCAAATATAAAATTTATTGTCGCAAAATATTCTTCAAAACAACACTTGTAACTTTCTTATCCTTTATCCTTTTTTTTTATATATTTTTATAAAAACATTGAGAGAACTTTTCATTCGTAGATATGTTGTTTGAAATAGTTTTGAAAAGAAAAAAAAAAGAATGAGAACAATTTGTTGTGAATATTTTCAAAGAGGAGATATGAAAAAAGGGAAAAAGAGTGCAAAAATGTGTTAATACCAAGGATAA